TTAAAAAAAAATTTTGAATTAAAAATAAATGCATTTAAATATTTGAATTGAAAGTAATTCAACTTAGAATTTGCAGTGGTAATTAAGTAAATTCCAATAAATAATTTTATAATAATAATAATAAATTCGAAAATATCGTGATTTTGATATTATTATACTTGGATTGAAATGATTACATATGTACGTATGTATGTACATACATGATTTTGGTGTTGATACTAGGCATGTTCAGGTTATGGGAGGCCACGAAACCCAAAAATTAAAGTTTGTAGCTTTATTTGCATATATGCAAACTATTTCAAAATTTTTTTGTTTAATGTAAAAAAGCCGTAATATTACGTAAGAAATTTTGAAATATTTTGAAATATCTTACGTAATATTTCGTAATTTGATATTTCGCAATATTTTGAAATTTCTTACGTAATATTATGGCTTTTTTACGGTTCATAAATTATTATGAAATATTATGGTCTTATAAATTTGCTGATGCTAATTTATACCCTATAAAAAAAGCATAATATAATGTAAGATATTTTGAAATCTTGCAAAATATTAAATTATGAAATATTAAGATATTACAAAATATTATGTAAGATATTTTAAAATATTTCAAAATAGATACAGTAGTAGATAGTATAATATCAACAAATTTATAAATAGTAAATTAAATCACATTAATTCACAACTAACTAAAGATAATTAAAATAAGTACTATACTGTACTGATTAAAAGACCCTATTTTATTGTATCTTCATGTAAATATCTGGTATTTTGTATAGCATAAATTTGTTTACCATATATAATACCCGGGTATTTTATAAATTTTAAACAATAAATTATGTTTAAGACCTAGTTATTTTATATTAATGAACTTTAGTTAAGTAAAAATTATACTTGGAATTGAAGGTTTGTGATTTGTGATATTAATCAGAATATATGCTTGATATTTTTTTTTAAAAAAAAATATTTAATATTACTATAGTTGGAATAGTAATATAAATAATGTATATATATTCACTATATAAATTATTCAAGTGGTTTTTTATACAATAATAAGTATTTACTAATATCAGCATCCATTTTTATTAAAAAAAACACACATTTTGTTATTTGAAATATTTTAGAATATCCAATAGCCATTTTTCTGAAATATCTGTACAACTTTATTAAAATTTATTATTCGACTTTAAATAAGATATTATAATCTAAATCTTATAATATTGTACTAAATAATAAATAGAATAAAGAGTTAATACATGTAAACTAATTAGGATTCTGCAAGTACTAGACAAAGTGCTATGAAGACATAGTGTAGTACTTGGTATATGCAGAACCCTAGAACTAATATTTTAATAAATTATATAGCTTTTATATTTATCATTTATTATTATAATAAGAGTTAAATCTGATAAATAATAAATAATAAACTTGAAAGCCTGATATTTCATTTTCTCTTTAAATAAAAATTATTTATCAATATTTATTAAATATTCATTGTCTAAATATATTGTGGTAACTAACTCCAATTTTGAATAATATTGGCATCCTCATTTTCTCTATGATAATTAATATACATAAAAGGGCCTTCATTTGTATCATTATTTCCATCATCATTATTGGCTGTTTTATTATCTTTATCATCTTTTTCATTGTCTTTACTATCTTCTTCACTATCTTCTTTACTATCTCTTTTTTCATTGTTTTTATTATCATCTTCTTCATTATCAATAGCTGTTTCAGCTTGATCCTCAATTCCTCTTTCTGGATTTATTTAATTATTAATTCGAGAGAAGTCAAAGATTAAATTATCTTCAGTTTCATCTATTTCATTCGAAATTTCGCAATATTTAAATAATTTTCTAATCAAGTTTGGATCAACAGATTTCCAAGCTTTACTAATCCAACTTGCAACTAAACTATCCCTTAAACTATCTAGTGGCCAAAATTGTCTGCTAAAATCATTTTTTAAAAGTTTTTTTTAAGTTTTCTTAAAATTTATTTAAGCTTAACCCCCCTATTTATTAAATAAAATTAAAAATATTCCTTTTATATATAATATATTTAAATTTTATTATTCTATCTTTAATTTTGATAAAGATATTACATTTTTAATA